AGAATCAAGCTGCCATTGTGAGAAAGCCCAGGCCACATGGATATACCAGTTGAAAGCCCCAGCTAGACCTTCAGTTCACAACCAGAACCAACCACAAGTCATATGATGAGAAATGAGATTATTCCAGTCTGCAGCTTTGGAGCCTTAAAGCAGAGGCCCAGACATTGTGGAGCCCTGTCTGAATACCTGTACCACAGAAACGAGAAGAGATACTGATTATTGTTCTTTAAACTGCTGTATTTTGGTGAAATTTATTTTGCAGCAGTAGATAATTAAAAACTTTCTAGGTTTTCTCTCTATTCTCTCTTTTACTGCCATCATTTGTGGGCTGTATCTCTTGGACTGGTCCTCTAATTTTCTTATCTTTTTTTTTTCCTGTTATTTTTCTCCTTTTGCTCTACTTTCTTGGAGATTTTCTCGATTTTATGTTTCAATCCTTCTATTGAATTATTTTTCACTATAATGTAATTTAATATACAGGACCTCTTTTATGTTTTTTAATGTTCCTTATTTATAGCATCCTATTTGTATTTCATATATATCCCATCTTTTCATATATCTCTAAGATTATTATACACTAGTGACCCAGTGCACAAAATTTGTGCACATTAAAATGGGATTAATTAGAGGAAATATTTTAATATTGCTATTTGCCCTTTCTCTATAATAGAAGTGTCAGAGATGAAAGAAAATTAGTAAAATGTATATGAAAATCTTCCTCCTGTCAGAGTCTGGGACACACCATGGGAACCAGAGTCAAGTCTCTACCCACCCACATGCGTCTTGAAATCATGAGAGACCCAGACCTGGCTGGCCCCACCCCCATTGGGTGAGATCCAGACCCGGCTGTACCCACCCCCACTGTGTGTAGGGGGCATGGCCTAAGGTCCCCCAGCCCAGGCCAGAGCAGGGGCACACCTGTGGTCCCTGTCAAGCCCCGCCAGATGGGGGATGTGCCCTGAGGTCCCCTGTCAAACCCCACTGGGTGTGGGGCATGGCCTGAGGTCCCCTGTCAAGTCCCGCTGGGCGGAGGGCATGGCCTCAGGTCCCCTGGCCTGGTGCTGGGGCGGGAGGCACGGCCTGAGGTCCCCTGCCCTGGCCCAGCACCACGCATCCTCAGGTACCTGCTGATTGATTGTTAAGGCTCATTATGGGAAGTTGGCATCTGCTGTGGGTGCAGCCATCTTGTGTTATGGAATCCCTGCCTCCACTGTGGGCGCAGCCATCTTGACCATTATGGAGTGATGGTCATTTTGCATATTCCCTCTTTATTAGATAGGATTTTATAGAAGTTTACTGAGATATAATTCAGATCCCATAAAATTCACGCTTTCAAAATATAAAATTCAGTTGTTTTTAGTATATTCACAGTTCTGTAACCACCATTATTAGCTAATTTCCTTCCAAAGCCCAGTACTCACTAGTAGCCTCCCCCCACCCCCTGGCAACCACTAATCTGCTTTTTGTCTGTATGGATTTGCCTATTCTGGGTATTTTATATAAACAGAATTATATAATATATGGTCCTTAAAATCTGGCTTTTTTCATTTGGCATAATGTTTTCAAGGTTCATCTATATTGTAGCATGAATTAGTACTTTAGAAGTTTTTTTTTTGTTTGTTTTGCTTTTTTTTTTCCCCTTTATGAATAGTCCTTGCTTTCTCTGAAACATTTTTGTTTGTATCCAGTCTATTTCTTTGGATTCTGTCTTTCATGTTGAAAGTATTCCACAGATTTCTAATAATCTTTGGATGTCTGGTTTAGTACTGTACTGGTTGGCTAGGGCTGCTGTAAGAAAGTACCATGGACTTGGTGGTTTAAACAACAGAAATTTATTATACCCCAATTCAGAAAGCTAAAAATTTAAGACAACTTTGTCAGCAGGAATGGTTCCCTCTGAGGCCTCCCTCATTGGCTTGTAGATGGTCATTTTCTCCTTGTGTCTTCACATAGTTTTCCCTTGATGTGTCTGTGTCCAAATTTATAAGAAAATCAATCATATTGGATGGATTAAGGCCCACGTAATGACTTTGTTTTAAATTAATTAATTGACTATTTAAGACCATGTCTCCAATTATAATCACAATCTGAGATGCTGGGGGTAGTACTTCAACATATGGATATTTGAGAAAACATATAACAAGTACCTTTAGGTCTCACTTTTTCTGATCATTGGATTTCTTCCAAATCTCTGCCTGAAGGTATAAACCTAGCTACCACAGCTCTGAGAACTTAGTAGGGGAAAGAGGGGGAGATCTCAGCATTAACTGAAACTCTGCTTTTAGTTATAGTACCCCCAGCCCAGCCCTGTGTCTGATTCTCCCTGTCTAGAGACCTTCTATTTTACTCTCTCCAGAAATAACCTTTAAGCTCCAGGTGGGGTTAAGGAGGGGATCTGGAGTTTTAACTGGATCCTAAGTAAACTTTCAAGTGGCCTTTTCTTTCATACTGCCACAGGTACTTGCTACCACCAATTATGTTAGCATCAGGGGTGGGGTTTCTGCATTATACGCTATGTTATATTTTTCAGCTTTCCTTATTATGAGTTCAGGATTTGGCTTTCTTGATTTTAATATGTCACCACTCAAATGCTTTCTAGCTTACAAAATTGTATTGCTGTTTTTTTCCCATTATTTTTTCCTTGTCAGTTTTTACCTTTTAAAAACCTTATTATTTTTTTAGTAGAGTTTCAGGAAGAAGTTAGAGAAAATGGAGTTGCCTATTCTGGGTATTTTATATAAACAGAATCACATAATAATATATGACCCTTAAAATAGGTGTACCGGTTAATAATGTGGATTTTGTAATCAAAGATAACACAATAATTTCAAGAGAAACATCAAAAGTGCTTTATTCAAAGTAATGTCCATCACTAGCTATACATTCCCCCCATATTTCAGGTAATTTGTGGATACTGTCCCAATAAAACTTTTCTTGTTTTGAGGCAAACCATTCAGAGACCCAATTTTCCCCTTCTTCATACGTTTTTGAAGTGCTGCTCAGAAAGTGCTTGTGCCATCGATCAAAACAAGTGGTAATCTGAATGAGCAAGGTGTGGTGAATATGGCAGGTGGGTTAATACTTCCCAGGCAAGATCTTTTAATGTGTCTTTAACTGGTTTTGAAGTGTGTGATGAAGTGTCATCATGAAGCAAAATTACTTTGCCGTGTCTTCTGGCACATTCTGGTCGTTTCACGATCAAAGCGTGGTTCACATTGATTATTTGTTGTCCGTAGCAATCAGTATTAACAGTTTCACCTGATTTTAGAAGCTCATCATACACCACACCTTCCTGATCCCACCAAATGCAGAGCATTGTCTTCTTTCTGAAGCGATTTGGCCTTGATGATGGTTGACCTGGATCAACCCATGATTTTGTGCATTTGGGATTCTCAAAATAAATCCACTTTTCATCGCCAGTCACAATTCAATGCAAAAAAGACTTTCTTTCGTGCCATTGAAGCAACATGTTACTGATGACTTTTCGGATTTCCATTTGTCTTTCCTTCAGTTGATGTGGAACCCATTTTCCTTCCTTTAAAATCTTTCCCGTTGCTTGTAAACAATTGGGAATTGTTTGCTGAGCAATGTTTACTCTTTCTGCAAGTTGTTTTTGAGTTTGACACACATCTTCATCCAATAATGCTTGTAATTGTTGGTCTTGAAACTTTTTTGGTTGACCTAGATATTCTTTGTCTTTCACATCAAAATCATCACTTTTAAAGCATTTGAACCAGCGTTCACAAGTATTTTGAGATGGTACATGTTCACCATAAGCTTCCCAAAGTATACGATAACTTTCAGCAGCACTTTTCTTCAAAATAAAGTAATGAATTAAAACTTCCCGCAAGTGCTCTTTATTTGGCATGAAATTCAACATTTTTAAGTGTAAAAATATCTATGATGTTAACACCTTCAGCAAATTTGACATATGAAGTTTTGAAGCTTGCTGTCAATACAAAATAGCATACATATCAAATTGCATATATATCAACATATGTGTAACTCCATCTATTGAAAAAAATACGCATTATTAACTGGTACACCATCATCTTTATTCAGAAATCCCACACATTCATATTTTAAATGAGCTCATGCTATACAGACTGTTCTAGAATCTGCTTTTATCATCAAATAAATTCCAGTGAATATTTAAGTTGTTTTCATTTCAATAAATAGAAATTGACATCAGTGGCTCTTAAGCTGGGATGCATGTTGGAATCATTAGGCATTAGGTGGGGGGAATTTTAAAAAGTACTGATGTCTGGGTCCTACCTCCAGAAGTCCTGATTGAATGTATAAGAGATATTGTGGCACTGGGGATTATACAATCTACCTAGGCCAGTGGTCGGCAAACTGCAGCTGGCGAGACACATGCGGCTCTTTGGCCCCTTGAATGTGGCTCTTCCACAAAATACCATGTGCAGGCAAGCATGTACAGTGCGATTGAAACTTCGTGGCCCATGCGCAGAAGTCGGTATTTTGTGGAAGAGCCACACTCAAGGGGCCAAAGAGCCGCATGTGGCTTGTGAGCCGCAGTTTGCTGATCACTGACCTAGACGATTCAGATATTCAAAGTTTAAGAGCCACTGACCTATACCATCGTTCATCATGATAATAAAGTATTCTATAGGAGGGATGGACATCAGTGTGTTTAAATAAACCCCTTTCTGGACACATAGGGTGTTTCAGATTGCTTAATATCATAAACAATGCTGTTATGAACTTTTGACATAAAACAATCTCTATATTTTGATTATTTTATTGGCTAAATTCCTAGAAGTAAAATCATTCTGCCAAAGGATATGAATATTAATAAAGTTTTGGGTAAATTTACCATAGTTCCTCTAAAGTGGTTTGGCTATTTCATACTCCCACCGATAGCATGTGAGAATCTTTGTTTCCCCGCACTCAGAAATCCTGTTACAATCATTAACAAATTTTAAAAAATTTAAAAATGTAAACAGATTTTATTTTTATTTATTTTTTCTTGGAAGGAAAAAGGAAGCTTTAATGATAATGATGAGGTATTCCATTTCAAGTCATATGCTACCAGGAAAGTGGAATTGTGACCTCAGAAGGTTGACCTCCAATCAATGAGATCTCCAATAAGTTATGGAAGATTTGTATTTCATTGTTATTTTATTTTCTGATTTTATTGTACTTTTTATTGTGGTAAAGTGTATATTAACAATATTTGCCAATTTAATAATTTTAAGTATACAGTTCAGTGGCATTAAGTACATTCACATTGTTGGGCAACTATCACCCACATCTAATTTCCTAAACTTTTTTATCTACATCTGAAACTGTCCATTTAGCATTAACGCTTCATTTTCCCCTCCCCTTTTCCCCAGTCCCTAGCAACCACCATTTTACTTTCTGTATGAATTTCTAGATAGCTCATGTATCATAAGATGTGTCCTTTTGTGATTGGCTTATTTCACGTAGCAATAGTATCTTCAAGGTTGCTATTTTGTTTTAAATCTATTTTATTATTTATGAGGTAAAATAATGTTTATGCTTATTTATCTACCTATATCTTACTTTTTGTGTATGAGTTGCTTAATCATATGAGGAACATCCAAGAAGAATATTTTTGGCTCAGGGTATCTGAAACCCTCATTAACAGTGGCTTAAACTAATAAGGGTTCATTTTTTTCTTCAGACAAACAGGAGTCTGGAAGTAACCAGCTGTTGGTGGTATTGGTTCAGCAGCTCAATGATATCATATTTGCAAGATGACTGCCCTAGCTTCAGCAATACCATCCTTGTCCAAGGCAGGAGGAATGAGGTAAGGAATATGTATGAAATCTATACTTTAAATCAAGAGAACATAAATTTTCCTAGAAATACCCTTCTCCTCCAGCAGATACTTACTAGCAAGATTGTGTCACATTACTACTCCTAGTTACCAGTGAGGCAGGCAAGAGAGAAGAGGGTTAGGAATGCATGCCGAGTCAAACAATTAATAGTGCATGGTTCTTTGCCTATTAATATATTAGAATGTTTATCTTTTTCTTATTGATCTGTAAACTTTCTTTGACTATTAACAATATTAACAATATTAACAATATTAATTACAATATTAATTTTTGTAACATCATTTAGCAAATATATTTTTTCTTATTTGTACTTTAATTTTGTTTCAACATACAGAGATTAATATTCCTTTTAATTTAAAAAAAATTGCCGAGGCCGGTTTGGCTCAGTGGATAGAGCGTTGGCCTGCGGACTGAGAGGTCCCGGGTTCGATTCCGGTCAAGGGCGTGTACCTGGGTTGCGGGCACATTCCCAGTGGGAGATGTGCAGGAGGCAGCTGATCGATGTTTCTAACTCTCTATCTCTCTCCCTTTCTCTCTGTGGAAAATCAATAAAATATATTTAAAAAAAAATTTATTTATTTCAGACAGGAACAGAGAGGGAAAGAGGGATAGAAACATCAATGATGAGAGAGAATCATTGATGGACTGCCTCCTGTACGCCCCCCACTGGGGATCGAGCCTACAACCCGGGCATGTGCCATGACAGTGAATCAAACCCTGACATCCTGGTTCATAGGTCGACGCTCAACCACTGAGCCACGCCAGCCAGGCGAGATTAATATTTTTTATTGCTAGGGCCCTACATCTTTCATTTTATGATTTCTTCTTTTGTTCTTATGCTTACAAAAGCCTGATCTATTCTGAGAAAAAAAAAATTCTTTCATACTGTCTTCTTGTTTTTCATGGTTTCATTTTTTAAAAAACTTGGAATATTACCCTGTTTGACTTCCTACCTGAGACTAGAGGTGGAGTGATTCAGGGAGGTAGGTGCAAAAGAACAGAAAACAAATTTAATCTACCACTGACCATGAAAAATACAACCCAGTTCTGCCAACTATTCAAGTAACTCATGTTAAAATGTTCACTGGTGGGTCGTGGGTAAGGTAGACTCTTAAGGGCCTATTGAAAGGCAAGAAATATTTTGTGGCAGACAAACCTCTAATGTTGACTGGATAGAAGAATATGAAACAAAGATACTGGCTGAATTTCAGAAATAAGTTGTTGGTATGAATATACAAATGGAAAGACAACACAGAGATCAGTTTGCAAGCAGCTGTGCTATGAAATTCCTGTTAGCCTGATGTAAAGTCCAAAGTTTGCTGAGCAGCATCAGGGAAGTATAGATGGAACTGAATTTAGATAGTACAGTGCTCAAAAGTAGTTTTTTAAAAATTTTATTTTTCAATTATAGTTGACATTCCATATTTTGTATTAGTTTTAGGTGTACAACATAATGGTTTGACAATCATATAATTAAAAATAATTTTTATGGAGGGTAGAGAAAAAAAAAACAGCTTGCTTAGTAGAGCCATTCCCTATATTCTGCATTAACTTAGGGCTTGACACTCTCTATACCAGTGATGAAGTTACTTTAAAGTGAAATTCCTGTATAATAATGAGAAAATATACAAATATATAAGACATTTTAGGCTTAGAAAAAATATCTTCTCATAGGTTTGCATGTAAGCCCATCTATCTTTGATAAAGATGACAAACTGAAATCGACAACAAATTTCCAAAATTATTTTCCTCTGCTCCAAATAGAAACAACAGAATGGCCTAAAGAATAATCTGTAAATCTCTACCTCCTGGCATAAAAAAATCCTAGCATCATGGTATTTTCCAGTTATTTTGAAACTGAAGACTAAATTTGAGAAAAAAATTGTATGATGATGCAATATTTCTCCATGTTTATATGTGTTCTCTGTGTTGGATAGTTGATTGGGTGCTTAGGCAATTATAAATTAATAAATTTGATGAATATTAGCCTTGGAAGGGACCTTTGAAGTCAATCACTTGTTTACTGAACTCTGGTCATCATTTGTGGCACATGATGCCTGTTCTTTGAGACTGCAATTCACTTCAGAAGTGTTTGTTCATCTAGGAGAAGGTAGAGAACTACAGAAACACCCATTTAACTAATTATTCCTCCCCAGATATTCTTTAATAACACTCAGTATTTCTTCAAGAGTTGAGTGGGCTTCTTTTCATATTTTAACCAAATATTTTCCTGCCTATTGGACTGGCTACTTCAGGTCATTTTTGGAAACTGCATAAATTGAGAGCTTTGTTAATAACTTTCAACCTTTGGATTCACAATTATATTTCCATTTTGCTTTCCTTAGTACAATAGACCTGGAAAAGATTGGTTAGTTTATCATACAATGTACCCATCTTATTACATTTGGTTCTTCCACCGGATACTACTAGTGACTCAAATGTTACAGCATTTGAAGTATTTGTTACTTTCTGCTTTTGTCCAAATAGTTATTTTGATCACAGCTAGATCCAAACAATAACTGGCTTAAGATGTCTTATTCCTTTTTAGCATATTATTTCCATCTATATTAAAGTAAGGCTAAGACACTTTAATAATGAGCACATAATAGAGAAAATTGGGACTTAGGATTCATGAGGGTATTAGCAACAGGTCTCTTTTTGTCTGATACTACCAAACAACTCAGCAACTTCTTCAGGTGTTGCCTTGTTAAATCTTGCAGTGCACATGTGGATCTTACCTTCACAAGGCATTTTCAATTGTGGGGCTCTAACTTTGTTGGATCTAATTGCACTTTCACCAACACAGCAGTATGCAATGTAGTAAGTACACATTTAATATGCGCAGTGTCTTTATGAGCTTCATGCCTGCAAGCTCTCAATCTATCTGTCTTTTGCTGGCTGGGGACTTTGGAATAGATAGAGCTTCTGTGTACTGATGCTTTGACCAGGCTCCATGCTGCTTATAAATGCAATTTGTATCACTTGCTTTAAAAATACAATGTTCACCCTGGAATGATCCTATACTACTAATGATCATGTGCTAACAATGGAGAAGCAGCCTTCCTCTTTCTTTCCTTCCTTTCTTTCTTTCTTTCTTTCTTTCTTTCTTTCTTTCTTTCTTTCTTTCTTTCTTCCTTCCTTCCTTCCTTCCTTCCTTCCTTCCTTCCTTCCTTCCTTCCTTCCTTCCTTCCTTCCTTCCTTCCTTCCTTCTTTCTTTCTTTCTTTCTTTCTTTCTTTCTTTCTTTCTTTCTTTCTTTCTTTCTTTCTTTCTTTCTTTCTTTCTTTCCTTTCGGAGAACTGGTCTCTGTGTGTGTTGTTCTCCTAACAACATTAAAGAGGCCAAGAGGCCATTTGTTTAAGAAGTGGTGACAGCATGGCAAATGTACTGTGAGATAGTATGGGGCCACATACTTGGTTAGATGACAGCCAAGTCTCCTTAGAGCCTCCATTTGTATTCATGACCTCCTTTACAAAGATGAAATTGAACTGTTGCTGTGGTATTGATTTATTCTGTGTAAGCTGGGAGAGATAGCAGTAAGCTTCATGATGATGGATGGGCAGTTCAAGATGATGGGCACTTCAAGCCTTGTTTGGTAGTTTTCCTTCTTAATGGCTTCATTGTCTTCAGGCTTGGTTGTTGGTGGTGTTGAGTTCCAGGAAAAAGAAAGTAAGATAGGAAGGAGGAGGAAGCTTGAGAGACAGATCAGTATTATGATCCAAGTTTCACTAGGTTTGTTCCTCAATGCTGTCTTGAAAGCAGAGAGTAGATAAATTCTGAAGTATACCATGTGATCACAATTATGTGGGGGAAAATGCATTTCAAAACAAGGGTGGGGGATATAAACCAGAATGTTAACAGTTATTATCTTGTGGGTGGGAATAGAGTTGACTGGCTTTTTTCTCATCTCTTCTGCATTTCCCCCATAATTTATATGCTTATTCTGTATTATTTTGTAATAGAGCAATCTATACTAATAAAAGCCTACGTGGTCCTCATGCATGACATCATCACAAGATGGTCGCCACAAAGATGACCACCACAAGATGGCAGTGCGCACATTGGAGGAGGGGCCCAGCGGCCACTCCGCACGGTGAGGCCTGAGGGTCCCGCAACTCCACATAGCACAGAGGAGGCCAGTCCTGGCATCTCCACCACCTCACGTGGAGGAGGTGGGTCCCTGCAAAGGAGGTGGGTTGCGGCAGGTGAGGGCAGTTGGGGGTGATTGGGTTGGCAGGGGAGGGCAGTTGGGGGTGATCGGGCCAGCAGGGAAGGGCAGTTGGGGGTGATCGGGCTCGCAGGGGAGGGCAGTGGGGGTGATCGGGCCATAGGGGAGGGCAGTTGGGGACAATGGGGCTGGCAGGGGTGGGCATTTGGGGGCAATCAGGCCAGCAGGGGAGCAGTTAGGGGGCAATCAGCCTGGCAGGCAGGCAAGCGGTTAGGAGCCAGCAGTCCCGGATTGTGAGAGGGATGTCCACAGGGATTGGGCCTAAACCGGCAGTTGGACATCTCCTGAGGGTCCCAGATTGGAGAGGGTGCAGGCCAGGCTGAGGGACACCCCCCCCCCAGTTCATGAATTTCGTGCACCAGGCCTCTAGTAATTTCATAAAAATGTAAAGAAAAAACTTGTGGAGAAGTTGTCCCACTGCAGACACAGCTGACTCTCATAGCCAGTTGGCCTGGAGGTCAAATCACCCCCAGTATTGCCGACAACAATCAAGGCTTAACTACAACAAGACTGTGCACAAAGACCACAAGGGGGTGCACCAAGAAAGCATAAAAAATGCGGAGACAAAGAAACATGACAGAAATGGAGGATATAAAGCTAAAAACCGCAATTTTAAGGTCTTTCAATAATTTTCTAGAAACTGCCGATAAATGTAGTGAGATCCTCAAGAAATCTAATGAGACCCTCGATGTTGTGATAAAGAACCAACTAGAAATTAAGCATACACTGACTGAAATAAAGAATATTATACAGACACCCAACAGCAGACCAGAGGAGCGCAAGAATCAAGTCACAGATTCGAAATGCGAAGAAGCAAAAAACACCCAACTGGAAAAGCAAAATGAAAAAAGAATCCGAAAATACGAAAATAGTGTAAGGAGCCTCTGAGACAGCTTCAAGCCTACCAACATCCAAATTATAGGGGTGCCAGATAATGAGAGAGAGCAAGATATTGAAAACCTATTTGAAGAAATAATGACAGAAAACTTCCCCCACCTGGTGAAAGAAATAGACTTACAGGTCCAGGAAGCGCAGAGAACCCCAAACAAAAGGAATCCAAAGAGGACCACACCAAGACACATCATAATTAAAATCCCAAGAGCAAAAGACAAAGAGAGAATCTTAAAAGCAGCAAGAGAAAGAAACTCAGTTACCTACAAGGGAATACCCATACGACTGTCAGCTGATTTCTCAACAGAAACTTTGCAGGCCAGAAGGGAATGGCAAGAAATATTCAAAGTGATGAATACCAAGAACCTACAACCAAGATTACTTTATCCAGCAAAGCTATCATTCAGAACTGAAGGTCAGATAAAGAGCTTCACAGATAAGGAAAAGCTAAAGGAGTTCATCACCACCAAACCAGTATTATATGAAATGCTGAAAGGTATCCTTTAAGAAGAGGAAGAAGAAGAAAAAGGTAAAGATACTAATTATGAACAACAAACATGCATCTATCAACAAGTGAATCTAAGAATCAAGTGAACAAATAATCTGGTGATCATAATAGAATCAGGGACATAGAAAGGGAATGGACTGACTATTCTTGGGGGGGGGAGGGGTGTGGGAGATGCGGGAAGAGACTGGACAAAAATTGTGCACCTATGGATGAGGACAGTGGGTGGGGAGTGAGGGCGGAGGGTGGGGCGGGAACTGGGAGGAGGGGAGTTATGGGGGGAAAAAAGAGGAACAAATGTAATAATCTGAACAATAAAGATTTAATAAAAAAAAAGAAAAAAGAAAAAACTTGTGAAGTCAAGATAGAGTTACCTTTATGTCTCCCTAAAAATATATTATACCATGAAATATAATTACTAAATATTTTTCTACTACTGGGAGTAAATAACAATATGAAATCATGGCTTTAATCAGCATCCTTGGAAGAGCACAATCAACAAAGAAGCAAAAGCACATCATTGATTATTACTCCAAAACCAACAGTATTTCATAAGCAATTTTAAAATTTCAATAGTAAATAAATTCAGTGTTAAGAAATCACATCTTCATATATCTCAGAGTTATTGAGATATAATTCACACAAAATATAATTCACCCATTTAAAGTGTACAATTCAGGCATTTTTAGTATATTCATAGAATTGGGAAATCATGCCCACAATCAATTTTAGAATATTTTCATCACCTCTAAAGACATCTCATACCACTTAGCCATCACTCCCCATTGCACCCCCAACTCCCCCAGGTTCTAGTGACCACTAATCTACTTTCTATTTCTATAGATTTGCCTGTATACATATCTTATAAATGGAGTCATAACAAAAATGTGTTCTTTTGTAACTGGCTTCTTTTATTTAGCATGATGTTTTTGAGGTTCACCCATGTTGTAGTATCATCTATGTTGTAGCATCAGTGCTTCATTCCTTTTTATAGCTGAATAATATTCCATTGTATGGATAGACCACATTTTGTTTGTTCATTTGGTTGATAGATGTTTGGATTGTTTCTACTTTTTGCTAACTAATGCTGCTATGAACATTTGAATATAACTTTTTATGTGGATATTTGTCATCATTCCTCTCAGGTTTATACTTACGAGTGTAATTACTGGGTCACATAGTGACTCTGTGTAACTTTCTGTAACTGCCAGACTATTCTACAAAGTAGCTGGATCATTTTACATTTATGTTAGTGATGTATGAGGGTTTCAATTTCTCTACATCCTCATCTAACACTTGTTAGAATCCATCTTTTTTATTATATCTGTTCTAGTTGGTGTGAAGTTTTATCTCATTGTGGATTTGATCTGTGTTCTTATGATGCTTATTCATGCTGAGCATCTTTTAATGTGCCCATTGGTCATTTCTATATCTGTTTTGGAGAAATCTTTTGCCCATTTTAAAAAATATTTTATTTTATTGATTTCAGAGAGGAATGGAAAGGGAGAGAGAGATATAAACACCAGTGGTGAGAGAGAATCATTGATTGGCTGCCTCCTGCACACTACACACTGGGTATCGAGCCCGCAATCCTGTCATGTGCCCTGACTGGGGATCGAACTGTGACCTCCTGGTTCATAGGTTGACGTTCAACCACTGAGCAACACTGGCAGGCTCCTTTGCCCATGTTTAATTGGGTATTTTTTTATTGTTGAGTTGTTGAATAATGGAAAGGATTTGGAGCCTGACAAATCTGGATTTGAACTTAGCTCAGGCACTGAGTGAAGTTGTTCAATAAGTGACAACCATTCTTACTGCTTATCATAGAGTTCTATAAGGGATAGGATGTTCTCTGTGAAGGAACAGGCTATTCTTTGTGACTGTATTTTCCACATAACTGAAGTTTATCTATTTGTTTGCCAAAAGTTGAAACATTTCTAAACTTAGTTATGTACATTCTGTGCTTTGTGCAACAGAGAGAAATGAACCTGATTTAACTATTTCCTGATGACCCTTTGGACTATCCTGGATTGTATTTATTTGTATCCCTATCATGGCATTCAGGGGCCACTAAGTTGTGGAGGGTTGTTTGCTGAGACTCTTTAAGTGACTTCTTTCCTCTGTCTGGAGTTCATTTTTTTAGTTAACCAACTTCTCAGTGTTCTTCCACCCCCTTATTGTTTCAAATTTGACTGTA